GAAATTTCAAACGCCCTGGGAAATTTCCAGGACACAAATGATTGCCATTCAATCAAATGTCATCTGGCATTACAGAAAACAAAAGAAAGAGAAAAATCAAATAGTAAAACAGGGGCTTAATAACTAGTCTAGCACCATTTTGAAGGTCTCATAAAGCACCATAATAGCTTACTTATAGAAGTTCAAATTGAGTGAAATGGAAGTCGGCACATTTCAATTACAACTGAATTGTAATAAAGAGTATGACTTAATTTTAAATGTTTAACCAGTGATAGCTTTTAAGCTACCCCTATTCCCTCTAGCCTCATATCTGGGCAAGCTGATAAGAAAGCCTACCTGCTCCTTCTTTTTTTTGTGTGTGTGTGTTGCTTGAAGGAAGTTCAAACCAGGCCAAGTGCACACACAGAAATCATCACCCTGGCTCCATCACCTAACCACAATAAAAATCCAAGCCACTTCTCCCTCTTTCTTCATTCAAGCCTCTGTGGACTGGCTGAGGTGTCTCCCTTAAAACGTATGCTTATGTGAGTAATAAACCTTTCCATACCCTCTTAGTACTTATATGGCATCATCAGTCACAATATTTAAACCACTATTAAGTGGGAATTGTCCTTTTCTCTCTGGAGTAATCACAACACAGACACAAAGTTGAAATTAGAGTTCTTTGACTTGGATTTTTAAAATAACTGATTAATATATTTTTAAACACAGCATGATCTGACAATGAATTCTACTGGGGAATTAAAATAATAAGTATATATAGTGTATTTGTATAGTTGATACATATGTGTATACAAGTATACATATAGTTGATACACGTATAGCAACTAACCATATATATGTAGATCAACATGTATATATATATATATCAACTAGAGATTCTGCAATGAACAAACCTGTATTATTTAGAAAGAAAGAGCTCAGTAGATGAGCTTCAAGACTATTGTACACAAATGGAACTAAAAATTAGGTAATTAGAAAATAACCCAATTTAAACATTGTTTAGAGAGAAATTTATAGCCCTAAATGCACATATTAAAAAAGGGCTAAAAAGCAATGTTGTGATTATCTTAATAAAATGTGATTTTTTTTCACATAAAAAGTTGGAGAAAGAACTGTAAATTAAGCCAGGTGAAAGGAGAAGAAAGAAATATTGTGAGGAAAAGAGAAGAAACCATTAAAGTAGAAAAGATGATTATTAAATTAATAAAGTTTTTAAACACTATAATAAGAGAAAAGGGGAGAAAATATCAATATCAATAGTAATACAAAAAGAATCATTTAAAAAATTATAAGAGGGTATTGTGGATAATTTTATACCAATGAATCAGAAAATCTAATGAATATGATAAATTCCTAGAAGATAACTCAGCAAAGCTCACTCAAAAACAAACGGAAAATTTAAATAGGCTTATATTAAGTTAAATAATTGAGTCTGTAATTTTAAAACCTTCCTCAAATAAATCTCCACATCCAGACTGCTTTACCAGGGAATTCCTCCAACTATTTTAAAATATAAATAACGTCAGTCTTCCATATTCACCTCTATAAAGTGAATATGGGAATGAATAATTCCAACTCATTTTATGAGGGTAAACATAACTTTGATACACATCTCTGCAGGAGAATCAAGGAGACAGACTCATATATCATTGTCTCAAAATTAAGAGAAAATCTTTTGACACATTCTATATGTATTCATGATTGAAAAAGAAATTATCCTAGTAAATGAAACATGAAGAGAATTAACTCAGATCTGATAAAAGTAAATGTAAGAAACCTAGAGCAAAGAATATAATGAATGCTAAAGCCCTGAAATTTTCTCCCTGGGATCTGGAAATAGCAAAAATACTTTTTGCCACAATATTGTACTAGAGATCCTAGCCAATGCAATAATGTAATGAAAAAGCAAGAGATTAGGATAGGAGAAGAAGAAATACAACTGTCATAATTCACAGACAATATGATTATGTACATAAAATATACCAAAGAATTCAAATTTAGAATTATTAAGTGAATTTATCAAAGCTATTGGTATAAAATCAGAATCTTTCAAATTACAGTCACAGAAAGAACATCCCAGGAAGTTGCCCAAATCACACATACACTTTCAAAACTAAACAAAAACCAAAAAACATGACTTTCAGCCTAAGGCTTCACTCCCTGCTCCACACACACAAACATATGCATTAGCAGTGTAGAACTTCTTTGAAGGACATAAACTAAACTATAGAAATTTATTATAGATTCCAGTTTTTCTTTAGTCAAACAGGCTGATCCCCACCCTAGTTCCTGTATCTGCTGGGCATCAAGAAATCTTAAAATGTTTTAAATATTCACAGCAATTAATTAATACAATTAATATACAAATATATTACCCCAGCTATGTAATTATGATATTCACAAGATAATGGCAGAATTTATAGAAAATATTTAATTAATGTTTTCATTAAACATCCTCACATCTAAAGGAGATGTAAACATTAACTGCGGGGTTCTGACTGATCTGCACTTTCTGCTTCTGCCACAAGTTGAAGATGAAGGGTCACCCATAAATAAATTCATCTACAGTGGTAACTGAGAGAAACAGAAGATGTGTCTAGGCTCTGCCACAGGAATAGGCAGAATGAGGAGGCTGGAGGGCCTCTTAGCCCTGGCCTAACATTAACAGGGAGTCTCAACTTTAAAGTGCAAATATTGTCTCCAAATGAAGCTATACACAGTTAAAGTATGACAAGATTGAAAGTAGGAGGTACTTATAACACAAATAAAATCTCATATTCCTTTCTTCAACCACAATTCGTGCATCATACCATGTTTAATGAAAACATTAATTAAATATTTTCTATAAATTCTGCCATTATCTTGTGAATATCATAATTACATAGCTGAGGTAATATATTTGTATATTAATTGTATTAATTAATTGCTGTGAATATTTAAAACTCTCATTCAACATTATGTCCTTTCCTTCTTCTCCCCTTCCCTACCTTCTCTCTATTTTCTCTGTCTTTAATATACCAGAGACCTCAAGACATGAAGTGGCCTTCACCTCCAAGGTCAATCTAGAAGAGACTTTGGATTGCTTAATAGCCAAGTAAACTCTCAGAACAAGTAGGTGGAATGTGAATGGTGATGGAGTTCTTGTTTCTAGATGGGTCAGAGCCTGAAAGACTGCGTTGATACTATACTTATGATCTCATTTTTAGCTCTAGGCTGATATTGCCTTGAGACACTGAAGTGTCAGTAGGATGTTGAGGGATTCCAATACTGGGGCCGATCCGCACATACACTCAGTATTCTGACTACTGTTAAAGGTAATGGCTCAGGCTGAGTCCTAGAGCATCAGGGTCTCCCTCTAGCTTGGGAAAGAAACAGGTTATGTTATCTCTGCTCTTTCTATCATACAACTCTAACCATAGTCAGGAACTTGTGTGATGATTTTCCTGAACAATAGGCTGGATGTCTTCAACCCTTCAATAGGAGGGATGTCTTCAGCCCTAGAGACAGCACCAGTGCTGTATTAAACAAAGAACAAACTAAGTAGTTACTTCAAAAAACAAACCAAACTCACAGCCACTGAGTCAATTCTGACTCATAGACACCCCCATTGGGTTTCTGAAGTGGTAAATCTTTACAGAAGTAGATTGCTCCATCTTCCTTCCAGGGAGCAACTGGTGGGTTTGAACCACCAAACTTCTGGTTAGAAATCAAATGCCTTGGCACTGTGCCACCAGAACTCTTTAAGCAGTTACTTAGGGTATAATTAAATAAAAGCACTACACCATTACCCCAACCCAAGAAAAATGGAGACATTCACATTTGATTAACTTACTCAGAATTAAATTGGGTCACCAGACTCAAAAAAGAAAGAAAAGGGGGAAAAAAGGAAAGAAGAAACTACTTTGATTTCAGTTTGCATTTACCTGTCATTTCTAATAATTTTGTTTTTAATAAAAGTAAGGATGCATCAGACTTTTGTTGTTGCTGTTGTTTAAATTCCTAGAGCCTGTAAATGTTTTATTTTGGCTCAGATAACCATTTTCAGACTTGCCAGGATCCTCGCCATCCCTGGGCTTTCTCTCTAATACACACATCTCCTGATATACTTTGCTATTTTCCCCTTATCCCAACATTGCCAATGGAACCTTTGCCAAGTTGTTAATTTTCAGTTCCTACATTTAGAAAGTGGGTATCACTTCACTTATATTTTGTTACCCTTTTGCCCTTTTTTCAAGATTACACAATACAACGTTGCATTTACAAAGCTACTCTCACAGATTTCTCTAATTTAGAAAATATAGTTATGAACTCGAGATTACACTCCTACAACTTCCCCAAGATCTTTTACCCAGAAGCTAAGCATCTCTTTGGGTAAGGTGGAATGTTTTTTTTTCACAAGTTCACACTGTGATCAGCTACTCTGGGTTTTAGCTGAGTAAGATAAAAAGGTAAGTCGTTGTTGTTGTTATTTGCCGTCAAGTCGGCCCCGACTCCTAGCGACCCCTCCTTGGGTTTCCGAGGCAGTTATCACTACGAAGTAGGATTGCCCAAACTTCCTTCCGAGGAGTGGCTGGTGGGTTTGAACCGCCAGCCTCCTGGTTAGCAGTCAAGTGCCTTAGGCACTATGCAGGAGCATTGTTCTAGACCTCCACTGAAGTTTTAATTCTTCTCCCTCAAATCAAAGCTGGTATTCTTTATATTGCTTTCTTACTTTGGTGTGTTCCTTCTCCTTCTCCTGTTTCTACCTGTGCCTATTGTTCAGGAAGATCATCACATAAGTTCCTGACTATGGTTAGAGTTGTGTGATAGAAAGAGCAGAGATAACATAACCTGTTTCCTTCGCAAGGTATGGAACAATCAGAAGGTAAAGGAAAGTTCCCCCACTTTACATTTCTCAAAGAAAAGCTGCAGGATAGCTATCTATTGAGATTTCAAGGGCCATATGTAGAGATCAGACTAATTAATACATTTCAGCCATCAGCCCTCCTCAGACTTACCTCCACCAGCTTATTGGCGTGCTCGCGAAAAACCTGGGCATATTCTTTTACTTCCTTTTCATTCCCACTCTTGGCAGCTTCAATGAGAACTAGCAAAGGGACGTTGGTTTCCAAGAAAGAGTCAGATATGTGATCCATCACTGCTTTCCGAAGCTACAGATAAACAAACAAACAAACAAACAAAAACAGAGCTAAGGAATAGAAAAAATTGTCAGTATCTCTTTTTCTAAACTGTTTTTCAGCTCTCATTACCCATGAAAATAATCGTCTAACTCTTTCTTCTTAATTTACCTAGCATTTACCACATCAAGGAAAACAAAGAGAAATGATGAATGGATGAGTCTAAATTAAACGTACTAACATATGTTATCTTGAAGAATATATGTGTATGTGTGTATACACACACATACATATATATATATATATATATAT